GGGGGGGGGGGGGGGGGGGGGGGGGGGACGAGGAGAAGGAGGACACGAGGCGGGGGAGATGTGCCAGTGAATACGATATAATTTAGATGATTATGTATTCTCAGGCGCCGCGGGTGGCCGGCCGGGGACTGGGGGGCGTCTAGATTTGGTTCCGACGCAGGGAAGATCATCAGATGCCGGATTGGGCACGATCCACCCCGCACTCTGGCACGGAGCCTTTCCAGATCAACTCCGACCGAATCCGGCCTCGAGTCCCAGCCACCGCGTCCTCCTCGTCCGTCCTCCTACTTATATTCCTCCATCCCGCCCCTCCCCGCCCCGTCTCTTTCTCTCCAACCCACCATGTTCTCCCCGCCCCTCCACCTCCACGACCGTGACCCCGTCTCCCACCCCCTCGTCCCCGCCTATCCCTCCTACCATCCCCCCGAGCCCTCCCCGCCCCGGATGCCCCAGCCACACGGACAGGCCACGGCCACACCATCTGCCTCTCCAGAGCTGTCGCCCGCTGCCGCTGCACTGGCCGCTGCAAAACGCCGTCACGTCTGTCCGACCTGCGACCGCAGCTTTTCGACCAGCGGCCATTTGTCGCGCCACGCCAGGATCCACACCGGAGAGCGCAACCACAAGTGCCCGTTCCCCGGCTGCGAGACGCGCTGTTCTCGCCAGGACAACCTCCAGCAGCAGTGAGTCCCTTCTCGGCCTCTCCCTCGTCGCTCGTCGCTGTGGCGCACACACCGTCATACCGTCGCATCACTACCCGCTGCAGTGTTGCGCCTCGTTTGATCGGTTCTAGTGCGCCGTCCTCGGGCGCTTGCCGCTGTGCGTCCGCGCCGGCCACAAGCCGATTCGCGTCGGCGCGTAGCGGTCAAGCGTTATTTCGAGCACGGCCACCGTCTCCTTCTGCGTAGCCTACGTGATTGACAACGCCGCATCCACAGCTACCGCATCCACCTCTCCCCTGGGTCTCGAAGAAACTCTGGTAATGCTACCCGCGCCGCCATGACCCGAGCGTTGGGTTCATCTGACAAGACGGGGCGCCGGGACTCGCAAAAAAGTGTGCGGGGTGTCGCCGCCTCTCTCTCCTCGAGAGGCACGACCCCCCTTCCGCTGGACTCTCCGCCAGCGCTCGCGCAGTCGCACCTGCCACTTAGCCTTCCAGAGCCGCCGGACACCCCCCCGCCTCTCGCTCCGGCACTTGTATCGGCTCTTGTTCACGGCTCTGGCTTGGCGCACCCTGCCCTGTCTAGCAGGTCATCTCCTAGTTCTACGTCTGAGACAGCATATGACCATACGCGCTCCCATCATTCGTCTCATTCTTTAGTGCCCGCTAATGCTGATCCCTCACGCTCTCCAGAACAATGCTATTCATCATCTCAATCATCCTCTTACACTTCTCCGATCACCGAGGATAATCAGAGCCAGTCAAATTGGGCCTATGGTGCGCCGTCAGATCTGCAATATACGGGGGCACTGCACAGAACAGAGTCTTTGAGCTCGGCAAGCAGTCACGCGAGTACACCCCCCTCTCCCACCGAAAGTGGCTCAAGTCATCACGAAGGACCCTCCCGCGAGTATACGGATGATACCTATCCTTATGGACCCCAATATGACTTAGCGTATCCCGATCAGACTCCGAACCCCCGTGATCTCCATTACGCTGACCATCCAGTCACCATGGTGCAACATTCGCCCTCGATTCCCGCCTCTTATCATGCGGCTGGCTCTGTACCTGTGTCACGCCATTCAATCGCTCACATCTCTCCTCCTCAACATGCCGCGCTGATTTCGCCAGCGGGTTCCTCGTTCTCTCACACGTCCGTCGAGCCACAAGCGGTATCACCAACCTTGCCACGGTACGCAGGCGACGTTCACGTCTCCTCTGCAAGCGCGCATGCAAGTCCCGTCGTCGACAGCTACCCCACTTTGGAGGACACGTCTCATCGAATGAATGGGGTGAACACTGCCATGTCTGCGCATTACCCTGAGCATTCGGTGCAGGCCCATCTACAATCTGATGTTGGCGTTCATCGCAGCGGGCGCTCCATGGCGGGATCGGGACATGCGCATACCCCCCCCAGCCAACAGCTGCGTGACGCCTATGGTCAACCCATCGGCATGCACGGTCGTCCTCACAACTATGGAACGGCAGCTAGGTCGTTGTCTCCGCCGTTGCATTTGCCTCCGCTCCATAACGAGCGACAGGTACGAGACGATCTTGGGCCTGACGCAAGACAGCCTGATCACGCGCATGTCGACGTTGGAGGGAACGCCGCGTCGTTTATACGATCTCCATTGTATCCCCAGCACCAGATGATGTCGAGTTCACTACAGCCGGCGCAAACACAATTGATGGCATCGCCAAGTGCCGGGTCTGACCAGTATGTGCCTCTGCATCAGCCGCGTCCCCAGTATGCAGGACATTCGTATCACACGCTCTATCCCCCATCCTCCCACCCGCATCCACACATGACGTGGAGAGTAGAGGGCGCGGCTCGGAACGAGTATGCTCATTGAATTGTTGCTCCTAACTTTTGGCGGTTCCTATCTCAGTTTCTCAGGACCACTCAGCTTCTTTGATCTGTCCTTTCCGTGCTTTGCGCGTCATGTCTTGCCGTATCGTTATGAACAGTGCTATACACCGTCGTCTACCGCATCCTTTTCTTAGGTCATTATCGATACCCTACGATCACGCTTTGAATACTTTCCTGCCTACTGATCTGTTGCTCAAGTTTTGTTTCGTCAGTGCGATGACTCGGCGTGGACTGGATATCCTATTGTACACTTTTACGGTGCTTATTGCTGCGTCTGCCACTGTATTTTAGCTCCCTGTTGTTGATAGAGAAGACCCGAGTCAAATAGATGCTGCGCGCAGTCAGATCTGATTGGCCTCCGGAGCTGAGTGGTGGTTGCTTGACAGCGGCTCGCCCGACGACAGAGTTCGTTGAATGTGCAATGTCAGGTCAGCGGGTGCGGTCGCAGACATTATTGATTGACACCGATTTTCTGCAATGAGTGGGGGGGGGGGGGGGGGCCCC